GCCCGAGAGCGCCCCCGCAGCCCACCCGCCGTTTGCCCCGACACAAACATGTCGATTTCACACCCGAAGCTCCGGAGCTGCATTTTGACTTGGGGCTTCGCCCGATTTCGTCCGCAGTTTTTGAGGATCATGAAACTGCGGAGGAAATCGGGCAAAGCCCCGAGTCAAATGCAGCCCCGCAGCCTCGGGTGTGAAATTGATATGTTTGTGTTGGGGCAAACGGCGCTGTGCTGCGAGGCAGCTCTAATGAGAAATCGCCCATAGAGTTTTGTCCCAAAACTAGAGCGTCACCCCCTGATGTCCCCAGCACAATGACGTCACTTCCAGGTGATGTCATCACGGTGTGCGTGCTTCGCACATGCATGCCAGAACATCCTGGAGCAGAGGCTGGATACTGGAAGCCAGGTAGGACATGGCAACCCTAGTTTCTGCTACTCTAAGCAGTGCGTGTGCAACAATCTGGTTTAAATAAGCCACAGCTTACATCTGAAACTAGCCCATGTATGCTGATGGAACCCTCGAGGCAAGCCCACAGCAGATATTTACTTTTCTTGCTTTGATTTTCCTGAAATTATAAATAGAAATGATAATTTCAGTTGAAAGAAATAAGGTATAAAAACCATCTTTGTTGCAATTGCTTACTTTTAAAATCTCCTGGAAACTTTTGAACAGTCTAAACTATAACTTTTGTTTGTTTCCAACTACTTTCCTGCTAATTGAAAGTTGTGCGCTTTGCTTCTTTTGAAAACTTAATTTTGCATCATAAGATAAAACGATTTTTGTTGCAGGGATGGAAGACGCCACTTGTGAAAGAACAGAGTATTTGAGCAACTTTCATCTTAATGTGGATGACCTATATTTGGTACCTGGAACTTTAGGGCGCATTCGTGCCAAAGCTAACAGTAATGTCAGATGTAAGTTGATTTTGAATACCTTCTGTCCTGTCTAGCGTGAGCTGCAGCTGAGGCAAACGCTTTCCAGGTGTGAGTCAACGCACAGCCACTGAAGAGAGCTTAAATCGTCTTTATTTAACTTCACATGCATTCAGTAGATCATTTACTCACAATCGAGCTGATAGCTGGATAGAGCGTTACATCTTTCTGATCTAGGTCAGTCCTATGGCCGTGGTGAGAAAAGAGATGGGCTTCCCCTCTCCTTGCAGTAAGGGTTGATGGACAAAGAAATGGAAAAGAACAATAAAACTCCTATCTTTGCGCCTCTGAACTCAGGAAATTACTCTTAATGAGCCAGTCAGAGGGAAGCTTCTGGGACCCCTAACTGTGGACTCCAATTCCCAGGTGCCACTACTCTTAAAGGTACATTAACGCTGGCTGGGGGCAGCACACCTTCACTATACCTCGGGGTGCTCCCCAACATTACTGCCAAGAGCAATAGTAGGAGGAAGGGAGCTCCGCCCTCCGGAAGAGTGGAATAGCACTCAGAGGTGTTTCCTCATGCAGGGGACTTGGGGTACTGCTGCTGTCTAGAAATGGCATAGGAGATGATAGGCCCAAATCCGAATGTATGCCATTTTAAAGGGCTAATATCTCATCTAGAACAGAAGCATTTAGGAAGAACGGTCATCCCTCTTCTTAGAGACAGTATGGAATGAAGCAATTAGTATGTCAGATGGGACTAGGGGAGGCCAGGGTTCAGATCCCCTCCCTGTAGGTTTGCCAACTTGGGGCCTGGAGATCTCCTGGAATTACAACAGGCAACAGAAATCAGTTCACCTGGAGAAAATGGCTGCTATGGAAGGTGGACTCTATGGCATTATACCCTGCTGAGATCCCTCCCCTCCCTGAACCCCCCTTCCTCAAGCTCCACCCCCAGAATCTCCAGGAATTTCCCAACTCCAAGTTGGTAACCCCGCCTCTCTGCCCTGAAGCCCTTTGGGTGACTTTGGGCCGGTTACTTTTTCTCAGCCTAATCTCCCTCATGGGACTGCAGTGGCTCAGAGGTTAAGACGCTGAAGCTGCAGACTGGAAGGTTGGTAGTTCAGCAGTTCGAGACCCAGGTGCCGCATGACAGAGTGAGCTCCTGTCTCTAGTTCCAGCTCCTGCCAACCTAGCAGTTCGAAAACAAGAAATTGCAAGTAGATAAATAGGGACCGCTTCAGTGGGAAGGTCACAGCGTTCCGTGCGCCTCGGTATTTAGTCATGCCGGCCACATGACCATGGGAACGTCTTCGGACAGCGCTGGCTCTTCGGCTTGGAAACGGAGATGAGAGCTGTCCCTTAGAGTCAGATTCAACTGGCTTTCGAGCAAGGGAAACCTTTACCTCTAATCTCCCTCATGGGGTTGTTGGAAGGATAAAATGGAGGAGAGGACAACTGGTTATCACCCTGGGCTGCTTGATGGTAAGGTGGGATAAAAAAAGAAACATAAGGGCAAGAGTCCAGTAGCAACTTAAAGACTAACAAAATTTGGGGCAGGGCTTTCGTGAGTCACTGCTCACTTCTTCAGATGCAGCTGGAATGTGGCTCCATCTGTCCTATATATTGGAAAGTGGAGTGATTTCAGATGCCGAATGACATTAGCAGACAAATGACAATAGCAGGTGTGATTGGGTTAGGTGTGATATGCAGAGAGGCAGTAGGTGAGGTAGTAGGAGAGGAAGTAGTAGTAGAGGTGGTAGTAGTAGTAGATCTACAAAAAAAAACCCATAGTAGATCTTTCTGTGAACATCTTCTTAGGTGGTAGTAGTAGTAGATCTACAAAAAACATAGTAGATCTTTCTCTGAACATCTTCTTTTCCTTTCTCTGTATCAGATGACCCAAAGGCTATTGTCGCCAATCTCACAGTAAGTACTTGAGCAGCATGCGTCTCTGTCTAGAGCACACATCTACTAATTATGGGTTCTCTGATCACTGTTACAGGCTTATGGTTTAGGTAGGATGCTCATTAGGTCCTGTAAAGCCCTCTAAATAGGTGTCTTCATGAGTAAGGAAGAAGGCTTGTCATTATTTCCACTGTTTGTTGCTAGTGATAGATTTTATAACTCTTCTGGATAACATATGCCTGGCTGCCTTGACTCTATGAACTGAGTTTATTTCTTCCTTCCTTTTGAAATGGAAAATGCTCTTATGAGTAAATATTTTGCCAGTGCTCTGTTCGAAAATTCGACTGATAGCATGCACTTCCAATTACAACCCCCCGCCTGGAAAAAAAACCCTTAACACAAGCCTGGACTTGAAATTTGTCTCTTCAGAAAAGGGAACTTAAATCAGTTTGCACGTCTTGGAGTAAGGTTTCTACTAACTCTTTCATCCCTCCATCCCTTTAAAATGAATAATATGTGAGGAAAGTAAAGATAGCAGTCAAGTGTATAATTCAATGCAGTCAGTCGTCAAAGATGGCTGTAAAAAGAGTCTTGGTGATGGATCATTGGTCTGTCAGAAGAGTTAGAACCCAAATGTTTGTGGGCTCATAGGAATCGGTCCATGCTAGATTTAACACATTTGCTTCAGAGCTATACCGTTTCAGGCTATAAAATGTTTGAATGCTCCCTCAGGCACCTCTCCTCATGGTGCTGTTTTTCCTTTAAAAATATTTAAAATAATATACAGTAAAGTCGAAACAAAGGTAGAACTTATAAAAGTGATGAATCAGCGGGAAGTTTCTAGCTTGATCTTTCTCCTTAGATACTAGTTTCAAATGTGCAGGGGGTATGTTTTTAATTCTATGAAGTAAATATACAGGCCCTCGTCTGCCATTTTGAAAGGCATAGCGCACTGATAAATCATAAGAGGCTGTTGATCATGCAGCATAACTCCAAGCTAGATAGCTCTTGCTGATTTATAATTTAATCGGAACATAGCACTAGACAAATTCATGATGGCATTAACATTCATGGTATATCACGCCTCAGAATAGTGGAAGAGAATCTAGACTCTCTTTTTTTGCCATCAAGTTGTAGCTGACTTATGGTGACCACGTAGGGTTTTCGAGGCCACAGACATTGAGAGGTGGTTTGCCATTACCTGGCTCTGTGTAGCAACCCTGGACTTCCTTGGAGGTCTCTCATTCAAGTACAAACCGGGGCCGATCCTGCTTAGCTTCGGTGATCTGACAAGATTGGGCTAGCCTGAGCTATCCAGGTCAGGGCCTCTAGATCTAGACTAGAATATAGACTAGCTGTTTATAAATTCATGGGCTTAGCATTCAAAGACTTGAGGTGGAGCTGGACTTCAAGTTCAGAGGATGGGTCCCCAATCAGAGGTTAGTTCACACACCACGTTTTAGACTTGAAATTGCCTCCAGCTACTGGGTTCAGGAAATGACTGGAAGAGTCCTGTGTGAATAAGTCATTGATACAATTTTATCACTTACGATTGCTTTTGGATAGCTGCTATGTATCTGAAATCATAATGTGTGGATTGTAATACGATATGGCCAAAAAATTGGAAGACATTGAACCACACTTGTTTTTGTAGGGGGGAAAAATATCTTAATCCCGAGTTCGTGCTTAACATTGTTATACAGGTTATCAACAAACTCGGGTCTTCTGCGAACATTCGTAGGCCAGCAATGCAATTTGCATGGGAGTGGAGCAGCCAGTGTTCTCCCTCACTCATTTGGAAATGTGTGAATGTCTTGTGTGGGGTGCATAGTGGGCCACTCTGTGCAGTTATTCCCCCTCAAAGTGAAACAATATTTCTCCTGCCCACTGTATTTGGTGCCCACTTCATATGTGACATTATTTGTGTGGTGGAGAATAAGTGGGTGGGGATCCCATTCTACTTCCTGCATCCCTGTCACGGTAAGTTTCTGAATGGGGCCAAAGATGAAGTTAGACGACTATTTGGATGGATTAGTTTAGCTGGGAGCATTGCTTAGCATGGAGGGATTGATAGGAGAACCTCACCAAGTCGCTTTCAGCCAAATTCCTTTCCTCGAGTATTCTTGAGACACGAAACTATATAATCCTTAACCCAGAACATCTTTAGGTTAAAATTCCTGGTTGGTGGCTTGGATTTGATGAAAAATTGGTATAATTGGGAGGAAATGTTTGCTTTGAAACATTTCCGTTTTTGAAGACCCATTTATTTATTTATTTATTCAGTTTCTATACCACTCAATCCCGGAGGCTCTGAGCAGTTTACATAGGCATATTATACTTCCTAGCGAGGGCCACAATGTATTTATGGGGGAGGTGAGTGCCTACCAGGCACCCAGCCGGCTTGTTCTTTCTTCTTCCTGCGGATTCATGGTGGGTTCTATCTCGGTGCGACTGCACAGCGGCTCCTTCTGGGTTGGCTCCACAGTCCGCTACTGTGCGACGACTGCTGCACCGGCCTCTGTCCGATTGGCTCTGGCCGTGCTGCGTTGCTGCGTCGCTTCGTCTTTGGCCATGCTCCCCCCCCCATGTGACCGGGGCCTAAGATGGGCATTGTTAGCACAAACCTTTACAATAATGAAATAAAATATTTGTTTTTTATTCGTTTAGTTAATATTTCATTCATCTTTGCTGCGTATTTTCATTCATCATTGGTGTTTTGCATCACAAGTGTGGTCTCTCTGAAGCAATCCCGGAGTTTAGAGAATGGTCTTGTTGTCTGGCAGGATTGCTTGTTTAGAGACCAGAACTGCACTCTAAGAAGGATTTACATTGCCAAAACTCCTCTCCCCCCTTTTAGTTTCTGTCATAGAAACGGGAGGGACTCAGTCTAATTCTTCATTTGGTTTTCCAAAGGCATGCACAACCCTGCTGATGCCCCACAAGGCCCCTTCGAACTTACTTTCCTCTTGTTTCAGTGCAAGAGACAAGACCAGCACTTTAAGCCCTATCTGAAGCAACATCTCCCCAAGCGGTTGCATTATGCTAATAACCGAAGAATTGAGGATGTTCACTTGTTAGTGGAAAGAAAATGGCATGTGGCCAGGTAAATTAGTGTTGTTGTTGTAGTTGTTGTTGTTAAATTTATACCCCGCCCTACCCCACAAGTGGGCTCAGGGTGGCTTACAATATAAAACCATCAGACAATAAAACAATACATGGCAGCAACAGATGATAACAAAAACCCATAAGTAAGATGTCTTCCTCTCTTTTATGGTTTATACTTTTGTTTAGATGTTCCTTTTTGACCAAAATTATGCTTGTAAACTTGTGGATGTTCTTAGATCTCTTGACCATGGTTGAGAAATCACTTGTGTTATCTCTACACTCATCCTTTATGGTTATTGCCACTGGGTTCCTTCATAGCTGCTTGCCATTCTAAAAGGAAAGGCAGCACTGGAGATAGTGATTGACAGGGTGGAGTCAAGAATATGGGGAGAGTAGCATGCTTTTTCACTTTTAGGAAATGTATGTGCCAACTTGGTTTTTTGCAATGCAATAACAAGCACTGAATAATGCAGTTTCAGTCCACTAATGATCTTTTGCAAGTAGATTTAGCCATTTTATGCACTGAAACCGAGTTGCAAAGTGCATTGAAATTGAATTTAAAGTGGAATGTTTAATGTATGTAAAAGTGCCCTAACTTTATTCTAAGCCCCGCCTTTCTGCACAAACCATCATGGAGAGGTTGAGCTGTCCTGCAAAAGGTGCTTCCAGCTCCCAGACCGCAGTCTGGAGTCTCATCCCCCCCACTCCTTATGCCAAAATTTACCATCCTTAGCCTAAGATTACAAAGAACCTTCTTCCACTATTTCATTAGAATATTTTGCAGAAATCATATCTAGATATATTTGAACTCAGTGACAATTTTACGAAGAGTCTTATTTCATACTTAGGAGGCCTGGAGATGTCTTTAAGAAAATAACTGGAAAGTGCCTTTTCCAAGGAGACCATGGATATGACAACAAGATTAATAGCATGCAGGTAGGGGCTGCAGAATCCTTTGGAAGTTAGGTGGTGGCAGTAGAAGGGAATCTAAGATGGGCATTGTTAGCACAAACAGAACTTTACAATAATGAATTGTAGCTACTTAAACTGCACTCCAGCACTCTCCTGGGGCTGCCTTAAAATAAACCTGTTCTAAAACTGCATGGAAAAACCAAAGAGAGAAGTATTTTACGTGTCTGCTGTGTGTAATGTTTTTACATGGAAAGAGCTTTGTGGGCAGTCACACACAGGGATTACGTATGATTCCTGTGTATGATCTCACACAAACCTCTTTCCACATCTGTGCAAAGGAGCTTATTTGGATTTCAGCCTCTCTGTGCGAAAATATTGTTTCTAAGTTTGTAAAGTTTCAGCAAACTTTATTCAGGGCTGTAAGAATTATAGACTGTAAAAATTCACCATTTCTATATTAAGGTGGTGCATCTTTTGCACCAAGAAGAGCTGGATTTTGCCATCTGCGTATGCAGTGCGTTTATCAACAGCTTCTATTTGGGAGCAATGCATGCCAAATAATGCCCATTGGGACTGTTTCAGGTTAGGAAAATGGCACAGGTGAGGGACTGAGGGCTGTTCTGTATGTGTGCCACAGTCAAGAACTGAATTGTGCGTGGAACAGCAGTCACTGGGGGTGGGATATTTGTGAATTTCCTGCATCGTGCAGGGGGTTGGACTAGATGACCCTAGAGGTGCATTCCAACTCTGTGATTCTATGAATTTAGTGCCAAATACACTGTGGGTTCTCCTGCACTTGTATGGAATTGTAGTGCACACACAGAGATAATCCTAACTAATTTTTAGCTTAATTTCTTTTCTTCATTTTATCTCTTAGACTGTCTTTGTAGGCTATGGCCCTGCATTTAAATACAGGACAAAAGTCCCCCCGTTTGAAAATATCGAACTTTACAATGTTATGTGTGGTAAGTAGCATCACTTTAAAATTAAATTACATAATATGATCCCAGGTACTTATACCTACATTTTCACTTCTGCTTGACATTCTGAGTCTGCAATTTTTTTGTCTCTGAGCATGGCTGTGTTGTAAATTTTGGCTGAAGTGCTGAATGCTTAGTCTGAAGTCTGTTTAGGGTTATCAGCCACCTTTCAGCCTGGAAAATTATGGACAGTCCATCAATTTACTGAAGCAAATGGAGAAAGGCATCAAAGGCCTTATAATGATCACAACCCAAACTCTTGCACTTATTAGGAAAGGCAATGTCTGGGGTGCAAAGAAGAAGACCCTGGGAGGGGGCAGCAAGAAGACAATTAGGATAGTGAGGTCAGCACCTTCTCTCCTGTTTAGTGCCATTCCTTATCTGTCTCCAGATTGCTACCTTTAGGGCAATCTCCCCCTTCTTCTTGGAAGTGCCACACTCAGTCTTACCTTCTCTCTCAGCTAGAGATCTAGTTAGGAACCTAAAACATATAGTACAGGCAGGGCTATTTTGGGGCAGGAACGCACAGGAACGGAGTTCCAGCTGGCTTCAGAGTTGGCCACACCCACTACAGCCAAAATATCTGTGTGCGTGGCTACAGAGGGAAGGCCTGGAGAGTGACCCTCCCCCGGCGGCTCCAAGGTGGGCGGGCCAGGGGGGCCCCTGGAAGGATCGGGGAGACATTTAAATGCCTCCCCCAGCCTGTCCAAGGGCTGGCTTGCCTGGGCAAGCCAAGGGAAGGCATGGGGTGTGGCCTAATATGCTAATGAGTGCCTGCTGGGATTTTTCTACAAAAAAAGCCCTGAGTACAGGACAAAACCTGTCTCATTGAGACCATCCTAGAATAATGGATGGCACTCATTCCTACAGAAAACAACTAAGTGCTGACCTTTGTTGTGTCGATGGTGCCGTGGGAGTAAAACCCCGCTGCCCTTCATCCTAGATCGAACCCATAAGAGTGGAGTGGATAGGTATGTAGAATCAGTCTGGGCAGGATCTTGATGCATATTTATGGGGTGAACGTACTGTATTTTGCAGCCTAGATAATAGCAACAAGCTTCTTTCCATCCACACACCCATCCATCCATCCATCCATCCATCCATCCAAAGTGGATCTTATCTGCAGCCATTTCTTCCCCTGTTTTTAATCCCTTGCCAGACCTTCTTGGATTAAAGGCAGCCCCTAACAATGGGACCCACGGAAGTTTAAATCATCTGCTTCGGAGCAATACATTTAAACCAACCATGCCAGATGAAGTTGCCAGGCCACTCTATCCTGTAGCTGCAACGCCTCCGTCTGACTATGACCTGGGATGTACGTGTGATGACAAGGTAAATTCATGGCAACCCTTAGTACTTTTAATGCCTCCTAAGAAAACCCTTGAAATGCTTGATGGTACCAGGTGTTGCCGTAAGCCATTGTCAAATGGAAAATTCAGTAGGTCTTCTGAACTGTAAATAACATTGAATATGCCTAATATTGCTGGGACTAGGATTAATGCTTCTTGCAATGTGACAGAGTCTGAATTTGTCTGCCTCCTTGAAATTGCATCAGGATTAAGAGTAGAGCTGTTTTAGCTGGGTTTCTCTCCAGGTTTCTTGGTAAAGGGAGCAGGAAATCTGGACTAGGTGGGAAAGCGTCAGTTTGCTCTGTTAAAACATTAAAGATGGGAGGGTAACTGTAACCACTAGCCTAGTACTGCTGATTTTGTGGACTGAGCACCAGAGTTTGGAAAGAAGATGAGCTGCTGTAGGTAGTGGCGAGACAGTGAGGAGAGGGATGGATAGGAAAAGGCTGCCACTCCCATGTTTCTAGTTTCAGGAGACTGAGGCCCTTTCTGCACCCGTATTTTGCCTTGGTTCCTGAGTGCATCCTATTCTTCCATTCTGCATTCCCTCCTGCTTTCACTTCCAGTTTGTGTCAGGGCTTTCTCTGGTTTCTGCATTTGTTTTACAGGAATCTGCATCCAGACCGCTTCCAGCACACTGTTGCCCCGCAGCTACCGAAACTCCTTTTGCTGTGATTCTTTGTTCTCATCCGCTTTCAAATTGCTAATCCTTTCTAAAGTGCAATTGCTTCTCTGGGTATTTAAGTGCCGTCCACTGTCCCTCCCCTGTTTCTGCCTCTCTCTCTTTAGGTTGATGCTCCTTCCCCGTTCTGTTTTCTTTCCCTCCCGTGCAGGCAAACATTTTAAAAAGCCAAAGAGAGCATACGAAGGAATCAGTAGACATAAAGGACTAGGGGATTCCCTGCTCCCAAATGTGTCAGTCTTGCATGTGTGGGCCTGGATTTTCCCCTTCCTTCCCTTTCTTTTTGCAGAATCACAGAGGGAGGGAGGGAGGGAGGGAG